AAAAAAAATTTTTTTTAATAATAAAATGCATATTCTCCTTTCTACTGATGGAGAATGGTCAAAATTCAGATGGTCCTCGACTTACCATGGTTTGACTTATAATTTTTTTATGATGTACAAAAGCAATATGCATTCAGTTGAGACTGGGGAGGCTAAGCTATAATATTCAGTAGGTTAGGTGTATTAAATGCATTTTCAACTTATATTTTCAACCTACAATAGGTTTATCGGGACATAACCCCATCATAAGTTGAGGAGCATCTGTTATATATTAAATAAGAAAGCAGCTCAGAACTGAATGTACTCGTATAGTATGCTGTCATTTGTGTTTTACATTTTTTAAAAAGCAACAGCACATACTGGAAGGATATAAAAGAAACATAACAGTGGCTTCTTACAAGGAGAAAATGGATGACCTTTTATCTTTCCTTTTATATCTTTTGCTCTTGTGTGTTTTAATATTAGGTGTTTATTATATAAAGTTTTAACTAAAATAAGTGTATCTGATATTTTGAAAAGTTAATACTGAAGACTCAACTGAAGTCATGAATCTCAAATGCTTTATCCTCCCTACTTACATACCTTACTATAGGGTTCCCATCATTCTAATACCCTACCACCAGTTCAGTTAGGGATAACAGCTCTCTTCAGAATTCACTTCCTCTGGTATTCATTGCTTACCAGATCTCACTTTGAATACTTAAGTTTCTTATTAACATAGCACCTTAATTTTGTATTTTATCATTTAAATTACCTGTATTTTCTACTGTTTCCCAAAGGATTTGAGACTGCTTATTTTAAGATATAATTATATAGGCTAATATGGTTCTATAGTTGAGCAATAAAATTGACTTTTAGTTTCCTGGAAGTAGGCCAAAAAAAAAAAATTTCTGACTTGACAAAAGGACACATTTCATTTTGCTTTTTTAAAAGAAGGGTTTTTTCTTATGCTAAATTTTGAGAAAAAAAATTCATTTCGTGTGCTCTTTTATGCAATTTATACTTTTCTGGTTGTTTCTTGTTTGCTTTTGTCTACCCTACTAAATTATAAGTTTTCTTAGGACAAATTTCCATTTTCTATACTATTTTTGTTTCATTTCTGCCTAGAAAATATTTACTTCTTATTATGGTTGGAATTATAAATTAAGCAACAATGGCAACACAGCCACATTTCAAAGATTATGATACTGCCATTTTTCAAAGACTTAATCTTTGAACAGTTGAGAAATTAATACTACTTTTCCTCTTCCTCAGCAGGGAGGCTTCTCTGATAGCCCTCAAAAAAAAAAATCAATTTATTTTTCAGTGTGTAGCTTTCACTGAGTTCTTTTGTAGCCCTTACTTCCTAGCTGAGTATGTAGTATAAAGAATTGGAAATTTGTTTGAACTTTTGTTTTATAGCAGTTAAATCTTTTTAAATATGGCCTGTAGCTTTTGTTAAAAAAGAGATTAAGTTCAAAATGGAGTCATTTGTGCTAAGCCCCACATCAGCAAACCAAGACTTCGTATATAACATAATTGCAGTTTTAGCCTCTTACCTTTTCCTTTCTCTTAGGCCAAGTTATCAAGGCATGGGACATTGGAGTGGCTACCATGAAGAAAGGAGAGATGTGCCATTTACTGTGCAAACCAGAATATGCATATGGCTCCGCTGGCAGTGTCCCCAAAATTCCCTCAAATGCAACTCTCTTTTTTGAGGCAAGTGTGTGTGTGATGTTGCCTTGTTAACATCTGCTCTGCTATAGTGCTGGCTCAGGAACAACAGGCAGTGGAACAAGGAGCTAAGCTTGCTATTGAGAATCAGATCCAATTTATTTATTTTGGAGCTTGGCTTCTTGAATTGTTTCCCAAAAACCCAAGGAGTGTGTGCCAGTGCTTTCTTAGAAACGTGTCTCTGGCACAAAAAGGTCATATCCAAATAAACAAAAGACACCAGTCTCAGGAATAAAGGTTCTGGTCAGTGGTGTGAGTATGACATTAAAATTGACCAGAAGACAGGATGGAAATGTGGGAAATAAATGTTGAAATATACCTAAACTAAGTTGTAAAGTATTTTCATATTATAAAGGTTTATAAATGTCACAGATCTCACGTCTATATTAGAAGCAGTAGGTAATGATCATTTGTTATTCATCTTGTGTTGAATTACCATATTTAGCCAAACCTGATTTTAAAAGTAAGGGGGGAAATGCCTGAAACAGCCTAGGTAAAACACACCGTTAGTTGGTTGTAGGCCTGAGTCATAGGATTTATTCTTAAATTTCAAGACTGGAATTCCATGAATCTGGGGTGGCAAAATGGTGGCCTCCCAAGTCAGACAGAATAGATGGGGGCCTGCAGTGTGTAGCCCTGGCTTTTTGCCCACCATGCAGTTTTCCTAGCATTTCCTGTCTGTCTGTGCGCTGTAGCCCCACAGGATGTAGTCCCAGACGTTATCATCACATGAAGGTTTTTTTCAGGTATTAAAAAATGCAGTGTTCTCTTTTTGCTACTCTTTCAATAACTAAGGAGCACAGATAAATATAAAACAGAGTTTTACTTTGTAAAATGGAAGGACCATTGGTCGTCCTTGCCTTTAAGTATGTGAAATTGGTTTTGTTTGGTCTTTTCTCAGCCAGATCCCTTTTTCCTTTCTAGATTGAGCTCCTTGATTTCAAAGGGGAGGATTTATTTGAAGATGGAGGCATTATCCGAAGAATCAAACAGAAAGGAGAAGGATATTCATACCCAAATGAAGGAGCCACAGTAGAAGGTAAGTACTGCTGCGAGAGGGGACTAGTCCTTAAAGATTGGGTTCCACTAATGTGGATGAAATGGAGATTTCTTTATAAAATCTGTTTATAGAAATAAATACATTGAATATATCTCAAGAATAGTTTTAAATTTGACTTTTATTTAATAATGACTTCATTTAGTAAATTTGATATGTATGTGCCAGGTACTGTGCCAGCCTCTGCAAACTCAAAAAAATGAAAAAAAGGTTGTCCCATTTATCAAGGAATTTTTACTCTATGGACTCCTTGGTGTGCCAAGAATTGTATTAGTTGCCCTATATATTTATTCATTTCTCACAATAACCTTATGAGGTAAGATTTATTATTCCCCAGGTGACAGAAGTAAGTTTAGAGAAGTTATATAAGTTGCCCAATGTTACAGAGTTACTGCTAAACAGAGCAGTAGATTTTAATGCTATTTTGATGTCATCACGATAAGAAAACAGATCATCATTTTAGTTAGATCAGAATTGGATAACAGTGTTCATTCTATTCTCTGTCAGGAGACCAGGGGTCCTAGGTCTGCTTTGCCACATATTTATTGAGTGACCTGAGGCGATTCCATTGTTTCATTTGCTAAGTTGGGAGTAAGGAAACTGCTGAGTATGGGGATAAGTGACCCTTCTTCCTCCCAGAGCACAGAGTGTACACCACTGTGTACACTGCTTGTCAGTTAATATTGTAATCAGCATTTGCCCATTTCCCTGGATACAGTGTGTGCTTCAGGACTAGAATCTTCATCTTTGTTTCCAGTGTCACCTACAGTGCTTTACACACATTTAGTGTTCAGTAAACACTTTCTGCGTGGATAAATGTTTGAAAGATGCCACTTACTGAGCTGAAGTAATTCCAAAAATAGTTGTGAGAAAATAGAGAAATATGTCCATCAAGGAAAAAAACAAATCACTAAACAAGGACAGCAACACGAACTATTATAAAAGACCTAGTTTAAAATAAACAGTTCATTCAGAACAGTAAACTAGAATAGCTGATTTTCTTATCTTTAATGTTGCATATACTACTTTGAACCCATATTTCATTTCTATGAGTCTGGCAAATTAGTCCAAATTAGTATTTTTTTAATTGGAAACAGTTATAAATAGTATTACTGTAATATTGCAGTTGAAGTGTTTAGGTAGTTATCATTCGTGATAAGGTTTAGAATAAGTAAAGAAGAGCTCAGATAGATAATGTTGAAGAAATACCTAGATCAGGAGTCAGGAGATAGGACTCTGGCTTCACCTAGCTCTAGCTAGACTTCACCTCTAAGCTTAGCTTCCTTCCTATACAGTGAAGCAGGCGGGCAGACCTCTTGATTTCTAAGGTCCTGCTAGCCCTAAACATTCCATGATAGAATTCTACATGTTTATACTCATAAATTATATGAGTATTCCTATAAAGTTATAGGAATAATAGGAAATTATCTTCAGTATATTAACAACCACTTAAAAAGATTGTCTATAACACGTATTTAAATTTTTAATTATGAAACATTTCAAACATATACAAAAGTAGAGAGTTTTTTTCCTATGATACAGTGACTCCCCATGTTTCAACAATTTATAATATATATTTTTAAACTGGAGGTTTTTTGTCAACTCAATTAAAGGGAAAAACCTTTTCCCAATTACAGAAAATACCACAAAACTACCACTGCAGAGTTAACTTTGGAGCAGGCTGAATTAAATCATGCTTTGGTAATATTTTCAGTGGGAGTCATTTTTTTAACATTTTGTTTTGAAATAATTTTCGACTTACAGAAAAGTTGCGAAACTAGTACAGAGAATTCCCTTACATGCTTCACCCAACTTCCTTAATGTTAACATCTTACCTAACCACAGTACATTTATCAAAATCAGGAAATCAACAATGATACAGTACTATTAACTTTTCTACAGATCTCATTTGAATTTTACCAACTGCCACACTGATGTCCTTCTTCTGATCCACAGTCAAATTCAGGATCCAACATTGTATTTACTTGTCATGTCTTCTTAGTCACATCCTGTCTATGACAGTTCATCAGTCTTTTTGTGTTTTCATGACTTTAACACTTCTGAAGACAACTGGCCAGTTATTTTGTAGCATATCCCTCAATTTGGGTTGGTCTGGTGTTTTCCCATGATTAGATTGAGGTTATGCGTTTTTGGAAAATACCACATCAGTGATGTTGTGCCCTTCTCAGTTCATCATTATCAGGAGGCACATGATGTTGGTGTCAGCCATTACTGGTGATGTTAACTTGGGTCTTTTGGGTGGGATCTGCTGTGTTTCTCCACCGTAAGGTTACTATTTTTACCTTTGTAATTACTAAGTATCTCATTGGGAGGGAAATACTAGGAGACTATGCAAGTATCTTCTGTTACATCACACCTTCACACATTGATTTTAGTATCCATAAGTGATTTTTGCGTGCAGTAGTTATTACTGTGATATTTGCCTAATGGTGATTTTTTTTTTTAATTTCCACTGTTCCGTCTACATTTAATTGGAATTCTACTGTAAAAAAAAGCTGCCTCTTCTCCCATTTATTCAGTTGTTTATTTATAAAAGCATGGACCCATGGATATTTATTTTATTCTGTAGGTTATTATATATTACTATTCATTTTTATTTTATTGCTCAAATTGTCCCAGAGTGGCCATTGGAAGCTCTTCTTCACCTTGTCTCTTGTTTCCTTTCAACATACCTTCATTGTCTTTTTAAGCAAGCACTTCTTTATTTGGGGCACTATAGGTGCTCTAGTCTCATTTTGTAATTTCCCTCCCCCAGGCCTAACATCAACCATTTTCCAAAGAGCTCTGATTCCTCTAATTGGAGAATGGTATTTAGAAAGTAAGACCTGAGGGCTAGGTATACTCATGGTATGGAATGTTATTGCTTCTAGAAGCTCTTAGCAGACAGAGGTAGGAAATATATCAATCTCAATTGGCATATGCACACATATATATGTATTTCTATATTAGCCTATATAGAGAGGGTGCCAAAAAATGTATACACATTGTAAGAAAAGGAAAAAACTGGATTAAAATTGTAATACTCAATATATACCGATAACAAAAGATGAATATAAGCCATGTGTTTACATTTTTTTTTTGGCACCCCCAGTATATTTTAAAAACTATGAGTATATGCTAACACTTCCCATTCCAATCCAACACCATAGGTTTATTCTAGCCTTCTTCTCCCTGTGCTTGTTTGAAACTGCTTTCTCTGACAGTGAGAAACATGGCCCTCATCATTCATAAACTACAGTATACACAGAAAGTAGTTTCAGAATTGCCAACCCATGCCCTTGTGAAAAACAAATTTACAAAGCAGCAAATATTTGTGTATAGTTCCTTTTGTCATTAGCCTTATAGCATACATTGAAAACACTGTTTTCCAACTTAGGTTAGTTCTTTTCTTCCTCACTCCCTTCAGTTTGGTATGTTATACATTTGTAATACAGTTAGGTTCATTTGTTATGTTTGCATTCCATTTGGGGTTCCCCCCCACACTCTGGTTGATTTTAATTATTCATTTGTTTTGGATATATGAAACATTACCATGAGATTCTAAACTACAGTCATCTCTCAGTATGTATCTACAGGGGATTGGTTCCAGGACACACCCAACTCACCCCACTCGCCTCCCCCACAGATGACTAAAATCTGCTGATGCTCAAGTCCCTTATATAAAATGGTGTATCTGCATATACCCTACACACATCCTCCCGTATGCTTTAAATCATCTCTAGATTACTTATAATACCTAATACAATGTAAATGCTATGTAAATAGTTGTTACACTGTATTGTTTAGGGAATAATGACAAGAAACAAAGTTTGTACATGTTCAGTACAGATGAAATCATCATAGGCCTAACTACATAGTACGAGTCAGCAACAATGTAACTTTTCCCCCCCAATATTTTCAATTCACAATTGGTTGAATCTGCAGATATGGAACCCATAGATATGGGAGGGCCAACTATATATGAAAATACATACTCAAAAGTGTTACCCCCTTCATCCCTACTAACCTGTCCCATTTCCCCATTATTTACTGCGGTAGGTAACTAATCTCATTAGTTTCTGATTTCTTGTATTTCTTTTGCAGAAATGAGTAGAGATGTGTATTTTTTTCTTATTACCCTTTTTGCATGAAGGGTAACATACTATGAATGGAATTTTTTAAATGTATTTGAATAATCTTTTATATAATTTTATTTTCTCTGTTTTTAAATATATTAAGAAAGAGCAGTGACTAATCTTTTGTCTTTCATCTTGTTAGATTATACTTTGCTGGGAAATTTTAGAGTAAATGGTTAATTTTCTCCCAAAAGTCCTTCTTAGTTTTCTGGAAGAAATCAATCTTGTAAAAATTTCTTATATTGTATTTTCATTTATCAAGGTTAAGGTGTCCTGTTTTCTCTCTTTGAAACAAGTTAGCTATGTGTGGGAGGGGGACAGAAAGTTGACTTATAAGTGGTCTGTGCCAGAAACCAAGATCACATTGTTCTTTTTGAAGTCTTCTCAGACTTGACTGGTTTGCCCTTTTTTTGGAGCATCACCTATATACACTTAGATTCAAAACCAGGTAGAAATCCTAGAACTAAATGCAGTTCTACAGTGAAAGAGAACAATAGACAATGATCATTCTAATATGATAGAGACACAAGAGTTACAGAGTTTCTGTCACTTCTGAATAAAGGTACAGTGAGTAGTCAGGGGAGAGGGCCACACAGGCTTTGGGAGCCATAGACTTGGAACATATTTGGAATCTTGGTATTTTTATGACTATACAAGTTACTTAACCCCCTTGAGCATCTAGTTTTCTTATCTGTAAAATGGGAATGATAATCTTTTCCTCCAAGGCTATTGTGACAGTTAAATGAAGAAAGGTGCCTAGTACATGGTGCATTTTTAATTTCTTTTCCCACCCTCTGTATTATGTTTATATAATTTGTTTTGCTTTAAATAGATTTAAGGACAGAA